CTGTCTATTATTTTATTATAAATTGATTTATTTGTTGATTTATAATGGTGTAAATAGTTTGTTTATCAGGTATAGATGTCTGGTTTATTGATTGCAGTCATAACAGCAGCAAATTCACAAATCACCTTGGAAAACTGTATCATGGAGCTAACAACAGTGAAAATAAGTTATGATGATGCAACGAAAGAAGAGACTTTGAAAATATAATATGTATCTTGTTGGGTTATACATGTTTGTCGAACATACATAATGATTTAATGGAATGGAAAGGTGTCTTAAGGGAAAAGATATTAAAGAAAAATTCGAGAGTTTGAAAAAGAATCAGAAAAAGGAAAATATTCAAACAGTGGACATTTTGATACTATTAAAATTGCATCCGAATTCTACAACAATATTGCTAAACAACTACTGGTGATATATGTAGATTATTGTGAGGAGGACAAACAAATACTAGAATGCAGAAAGAAATAGAATGAAATGAAAAACAATAATTGAACATGAAATATGAAGAGTTTAATAATAGACGAAAGACGCTTATAGAAATCATCTTATATAGAGAACAAACAATAATTGTAAACTTTGCCGATTTTACTCAATTTACAAAGAAAAGAGGTGTATGCATAAGAAAATGAAAATCATTATTGAAACAATAATGTGTCAGATTAATAAAAAGCGAACTATTGTTATCATTATATAAGTTTGATGATTTAATCAATAACAATATAATTCTGTACATAAGAATTCGCAACTTGGAATCCCAAATGAATTTAAACACAATATTTTTTGATAGCAAAATAAATATATTTCCATTTGCTTTTATTAACATAAAAAGACATCGTTCTTATATAAATCTACAAGTCCTATTTTCATGCAAAAGAAACAACTAACCATTTATTATTAGTAAGTAGATTGTATGAGTTGTATACTTAAACAAATCAAGATATTTGTTGTAAAAATGAAAATATAATATAGTACATTTTTTAATAATCAATTGTTTAAATAATATGAGAAAATAAGGACCTACGTTCACAAAATCTGAAAAACATTAAAAAAAAGGGATATCCAATAATAATGTTTGAAAATTGAATAATATGCGTCTGTCGTTATCATCTCAAACATAAAATGTTATAACTCATTTCATGTATTGTAAGTAAATACTAAAAAGAATCAGTTATAAATCCCAATTAAATCCCTAAAATTAAATGCTGTTATAGCAAAAAAAACTAGGGAAACACAATAAGGTAATCACAACATTAATTACGTCGGTCTAATCCACTATAAAATTTATTAATATAAAATTGCAAGTTTTAAAATATAACATTTAAAATTAGCATACTGAAAATATTTACAGTGGTCAAATTTGTTTAAATAAAGAAAATTTTAGATAAAATATGATATGATTTTTTATAGAACTAAATTGTAATTTAATTTATAAAAGCATATAAAAGTTTTTTAATACATAAAACAACTTATTTTCATATTCAAACCATACAAACATAGAGAAGTACCAGAAAATGTATCAAGGTTAATATACAAAAAACACTTCATTACTTAAATTATAACATGGCATCTACTTATATAAACTTATAAAACATAATTGTAATTTGTAACTATAGTGTTTAATTATCAGATACACATATAACATATTTATAAAACTAATTACCGTGTATAAGATCT